CGGGTTTATGCACTCCTGGACGAGTTGTGGCGGCTGTATGCGCGTCACAGGATTCACTTTTGAACGCAATCGACCGCGCTTGGCGGAGCGTTTTAGTGGCCCTGAGTGCCAGGCGTTTGGGCCATCTAATTTCCAGGACAAAGTTTGAGCTGGGGGAGGGGGGGGGGGCTTGATCCAATTTCCGTACTGTGCGTGCTTTAACCAGCGTTACTTCTCACCACACTGCGAACAATAGTAGCCGAAAAGGGTAGTATTGAGTCATTTATCACGTGGTCCCTCTATCTCCACAACTTCCCTAGCATTGAATTAGGTCTCGAAAACTCGTCCAAAAGGGGCGGAGCATTCCACGCGCCATACCGATTTCTAACGAGCTGTCGCATTTCTGCCACACACCTGGTCCCAACGCATAACCCCGTGTACAATGAAAGTTCTGCATGATGTGAATCGATTCTCCCCGCAGCCTCGAAATCTCCCCTTTCACAGACAGACTAAAGCCTCTACACAAAGTATTAACCGTTTATACTTGCCCAATTGCAGCCGTACCATCGCCGGCACGCCCTCACCTCTCAACCTCAACAACAAGACGAGTTTGAGCTGTTTGGAGCGATAGTTGCAGCTCAACTGCGCAGGTATGCGTTCAGGCTTTTCATTCCTTTTTTCCAAGACTCTTCTATATTTAATTTTTAAATTACTTTCAAAAACACTTACCATTTCAGGGTTTCGGACGATTTTTCACGTGCCGCCTCGCTGCGACTACAAAAGAAACTGAACGACGTGATATTTGAGTCACAAATGGAATTGCTGGAAAACGGGAACTAGCACAAATAATCGTTGACGATCAATATCGATCAATGTGTATATTATGTGTAGATGCTTAGATCAGTTTTATTTCAAATCATCAAACAATCAAATCAGACGGATAATATACGGAAATGAATCAAGAAAATGCATGCATGAATTTGTTCATATTGAGCAGTTATGGCGATAAGGCTGGAATAAAAATTTAAAGGACGCGTATTCGGTTAGAGCACAGAGATACAGAGTCTTACAGTAAGACGCGCGAATACTGTAATGTACAGTACCCCGTGTGTGTATAAAGCAATGCGAGGTCCTAACTACCCGAGATCAAGGACCGTCGCGTGTTTTGTGTGTACGAGCGCAAACCGATCACAGTTATTCTGGACTGCACCGCAAATGCTGCATAGTTATACAGATTTGCATTCGCCCACACAATCCACTCACAGTCTATAGTATAGCCTACACGAATCGTCACAATGACTAAAGTATGTACGCGGTCAGAGACGCAGAGGACGGATCAACTCTATTTACTGCACTCTGGCCTTGAGAGTACTTGCTCACAGGAGGTGATTTTTTTGAACAATTTTATAAACAGTAGATCTCATCCGTTCTCTTCATCCACTAATGTCTCTACTTCTGTCTCCATGGCCGTGTCTTCACAGTTCGAATTACCGGATTTCTGATACGCGTCAGCCGCTCACTATATCAACGGGAGCGTTCTGCCTTGTTCCCATGATGAGCGTGTGCGGACGGTGGGGCAAGGATGTAGGCCCTGAAATATGGTTAAGTGTCAGAAAGCCAGACCAAGAAGAAAAAATAGTATACTCCTTGGTCAAATCAGTATTGGGCATACGACGCATTGATTTCAGTGGAAATGAAGAGGTTTCTGAATGCATCATAAAAGTTTCGACTTTGAAATTTCCTTGTGACGCTGGTAATGAGTTGTAGAGACAACAGTCGCGGCGAGAGAGGGAAAACGAGGAGAGATGTACGCCGTACGCGAGATGGCAGAGATAATCATATGCCGTCGATTTAACAGGATGACTAGCCAACGAACAGCACACAAGGTAAACCTAGCGCACGTTGCTTCGCCGCTTGACAGCATCGCACCCCGCTCGCTTATGAAACGTTCTTTTTCACTATAGGAGGGTCTACTGTTGGCACCCGATCTACAGTAAGCTGTGAGAGAACCAGTGTGCTCAATGACTGGTTAGCACTTCCGGTAGGGAGCACTGAGAACAAAAAATCAAACCCTCCAAAGGTTCAAAAAAAATTATTAGCCGTAAACATTCTCGAGTTCCGATTGAAAATGCCGCTGAGGTGGCATTTATCCTATTATGTAAGCGTGTTGAATGTTGAGGAACAAATACTATCGGGCCGTGCAACCCTGCTCTAGCTTCAGGCCGGTTGGGTGCTCCTGGATGTATCTGTTTGTGAGAACACTGGCACGAATGCTGAATGTGACCGGAATTGACAAATAATAAATGAGGTCATATTCTCGTACATGAACCTTCACCACTATAAATATGTAGGGAATCGAGTACATGGCGCACTTCAGAAAATCGATAAAAGTTGGGTCAAAGTTATTTGTTTCCAGCCTCTGGGAAATATCCTCAACTCACCGACTCTTGTGGGAAGAAAGAACAACATCAGAGCAGTGGTAATCATCAGCGCTTATCGCGAAATTCCGAACAGTTGCAAAATCTGAATGCTTTCACGTTATTAAGGATTTTACTACATTGAAAGATATTATGATCCATGCCAAAATGTACATTTGTTCCCGCAACCGGAATAGTCGCAATTGCAGACATGGTAATGCCACGTTAGATCAAAAACATCAAAAAGGACATGCGATATCGATTCTCTTCGTACCCACTGTCAGTGATTGTGCAATTGCGACAGGACCTACCAGGAAGGTCTTTCAGGGCGTGACGAGCTTTTTGAAAACGGTCTTTTGCATGATATAGGGGCAGATGCGGGAACCACAGAACCATGTTCAATTTTTCCTGAACGGCCCTCTGAATACCAGAAAAGGAGGTCCCTAGTTCGATTCCTCGTGGTAACAAATTTTTGCATTTTCGAGTTGACGTGCCAAAATTCGCGCAAAATGGAGTTAGAACCAACCAGAACAATCAGAACTCCATTTTGCGCGAATTTTGGAACGTCAACTCGAAATGCAAAAATTTGTCACCAAGAGGAATCGAACTAGGGACCCCCTTTTCTGGTATTCAGAGGGCCGTTCAGGAAAAATTAAACATGGTTCTGTGGTCCCCGCATCTGCCCCTATATCATGCAAAAGACCGTTTTCAAAAAGCTCGTCACGCCCTGAAAGACCTTCCTGGTTAGTGGAACACCAGTGTGAGATTCGTTTCGAGTGGATACCTCAATCCTTTATTCATTAGGAGGTTATCATCACTATTCAGGAAACCGGAACTATCCTACTTACTATAAAGCGCTTCGTCTGTCGTTCTGTCCCTCTGTCCCTCTGTCTGTCGTTCTGTATGTCTGTCACGAAATTCCCTAGCTCCTCGGGATCCGCCTGGAGGGACCGGGTCAAGTGTGGGATGGGTGGGCAGGGTCTCACGTAATACAAAACACACATCAGCTAAGCGGAGCCCCGCCCACAGAGGGCGTGGCGTGCGTCGAAATGAATTGTACCAAAGACCAAGATTTCGATTTCAGTGACAAAACGACCTCGAAACTGGGCCAAAAAGTGGGCTAAGGTGTGCATTGGTAAGTCACATCGAATTAGGGAGACCCACCCCCGGTGGGCGGGGCGTTCTCTAAAAAAGCAGTGCTTTATGAAAAATTTCATAACTCGGTTGGGAGAAAGCCTACAGAGCAGAAAACAATTCGGTGTAAGGGAGCAATGTCTAAGGTGTTTCCCGCATACATGACGTGGGCGGAGGCCTGCCCAGAATGGGCGGGGCGCGCTCTGAAGTGTACAGCATTTTCTACAAGCCCTCATAATTCGGGTCGGGGAAGTCCTAAAGAGCCGGAAAAAGGTGGATAGAGGTGTATGGAGGAGTGGAGGCCAGCTATCAATGGTGGGCGGGGCCTGACCAAAGTGGGCGGAGTTTGCGACGAAAATTTATAACTCGGCTCCATGAAGCTCCGGAGGCTGGGGAAAAGGTGGATAGAGGTGGGTGGAGGAGTGGAGGTTAATTGTCATTGGTGGGCGGGGCCTGACCAAAGTGGGCGGAGTTTGCGACGAAAATTTATAACTCGGCTCCATGAAGCTCCGGAGGCTGGGGAAAAGGTGGATAGAGGTGGGTGGAGGAGTGGAGGCCAGCTGTCAATGGTGGGCGGGGCCTGACCAAAGTGGGCGGAGTTTGCGACGAAAATTCATGACTTGGCTCCAAGAAGTCCCTGAGGCCGCGGAAAAGGTGGATGGAGGGTGGAGGAGTGGAGGCCAGCTGTCAATGGTGGGGCGGGGTCTCCCTGCTGACAAAGGGGCGGAATCCCTCGTGTGCGACAGACAAATTCTCATGACTTGGCTCCAAGAAGACCCTGAGGCCGCGGAAAAGGTGGGGATGGAGGTGGGTGGAGGAGTGGAGGCCAGCTGTCAATGGTGGGCGGGGCCTGACCAAAGTGGGCGGAGTTTGCGACGAAAATTCATGACTTGGCTCCAAGAAGTCCCTGAGGCCGCGGAAAAGGTGGATGGAGGTGGGTGGAGGAGTGGAGGCCAGCTGTCAATGGTGGGAGGGACATGACCAAAGTGGGCGGAGTTTGCGACGAAAATTCATAACTCGGCCCCAAGAAGTCCAGGAGGCTGGGAAAAAGGGAGTAGGTCGGCGAAGGAAAGGAGGTCAAATGCTATTAGTGGGTAGAGCACGCACCTAAGTGGGCGGAGTTTGCCAAAAGTGCCGTAATTTGGTTCCAAGAGGTCCCAGAGACCGGTGAAAAAGGGGGTAGAGGTCGGCGAAAAGAAGGGAGCCAAATGCTATTGGTCGGCAGGGCACGCACCGAAGTAGACGGAGTTCGCCACGAGATTTATTGTCCGGGCCGAGGACCGAGAAAAATAGGATAATGGTTGACGAAGAAAGAGCGCATAGAATTTAGCGGAGAATTCAGATATTCGTATTGTATCAAGCCAAATTTGAAATTTTTCGTCGCACCATCAAAATTCGCCACAGATCTGTGTTGCGCGCGCAATGCGTGCGGCGCCAACTGGTTAATATCATATGAATCCATGACTGAGGAAGAGACAATAAAAGACACATTCGGATCGCGATTAGGCGCAATTCCTGCGACAAGACATTGGTATCCTTCTGAAACGTAGAATAAGTCTAATATAAGTAAAGCAATTCACGAAAGGTAATTAATTGTCGTGATGCGTCGCCACGAGGGGGTTGCTGGTGGAAACTTGGGTATGTGTGGGCAACGTTTCGACTCTTCGTCGGTTCTCAGGCTAGGAGATAAGCAGAACAGCCTTTCGCGTTTCGGTTGGGGTAGCGCGAGGGTCGGGCCCAACGAGTCCAGTCTTACTCAATCGTCTGGCGCGGTTCGGTACGATAGGAGAGTACTGACGCAAGTGGTGCAGCTGGTCCAGCAGCTCCGCCAGAAGGGCTGGTTTGCTCACCCCAGGACTAAGCCTTGGAGAGGGGACGGACCCGTCCTCTCTTTAGAGGCTAGCGCCATTGTGGCTTCGAGTCGCCGCACCAAATTTGTGCGGTCTAAGACGATGTTGAAGTGGTTCGTCCACCGTCGGGGACTCCATCCCCTCCCCAACATTCAGCATACGGTAACAGCCGAAGCGCCAAAAGGGCTGGTTTGCTTACGTCCGCCCTAGGTTCTACCACTGGAATGTAGAGACAATTAGGAACGAGTGCAATTTGAAAAGTCAAGATCCTTAGATTGTTTATCTCCAGCGATGCATGCCTGCTCGTTTGACTGATAAGGTGTTCCAAACGCAGGGCTTTTACGCTGTGTATTAGTCGGGCCCAAAATTTCCCCCAAAAAACCCTCCCGCACTTTTTTTTTTGAATGAAAAAGGGCCTGCCGGGGTTTACTTGACGAAATTTAAGAGGTTCGTCTGAGGAAGATAGCGGGGTTCTTCAGAACATTTTAATTATTTCGTATTATAAGCGTTTTTTTCTTTTCAATTGCCATATGCTCGAAATCTTTTATGATAGAGCTCACAAAACTCACTCTCGTGTTCCGACGGCACGCATAGCTGAACGCATTTGTTGTTGCTTTTCACTATGGATTACGAACTCTTTTCTGCCCTCTGTGCGAAGTCCTTGAAGCGTGTATAAGACCTTGAATGCAAGAGATTTTGCAGGGTAATGTTGTCTAAGAAAAACCTAAGACGATCTACAGGGGAAAGTATAACTTTACGTGAAATGCCTTTCGCGATGACTCAGACCGCAGATATACACTGCTTCGGATTCCTGAATGGGTGGTTATCGATGTCCTGTATTCACCAGTTATTTTAGCAGTACGATGGTACCTTTGGAGTAGTCCGAGAAGTACACAAAATCAGCGAACACGTCCAATCCGTACAAGCCACGCCCCAATTTCTGTCCAAGCACATGACGATGACTTCCATCATAATTGCAAAATCCTGAAAAAGACAGAATCAGCGGTTTTCACTACAAAGGTGGTTCAAAGATCAAGGAGTTTGAATGTTGGGCCGAGTACTAAAAAAACAAACGCTCTACTGTCACAAGTATCCTCCCTGTCATAAAGCGAGAAATGATCGGAGGTGCAGACTTGCACCAATAGTGACGACAGTGAGCTCTATCAATATAATCGCTAAATGTTTCAATCAAGGACACATTGTTGTTAATGATTAGCCTGTTGCAGTTGTATTCTATCGATTGTCACTAATTACAACTATCATTTACCAGAAATCAGCTATCACTATGAACAACTTCTAACCAGATTTACTTGGAGGCCGTCGTCAGTTGTGGTGTTTGGTCTGCACCCGACACTTTCTCTTTTTGAAGGGGAGGTTATACTCAACTTACTATGTCTGAGAGTGCGGAGACTCTGTTTTAGCAGGGAGACGAGTTCGCAAATGCAGACCTACTGACACAGTGGCATAAGATAGCAATAACTCAAACGAAAATTACACATTATATCGATTTTTGTGGCCGCTGCCATGGGTGCTGCTGGGTCCGCAATTGCGACGCGTCTCACCATAGAAACAGAGTGTATGTGTGTAGGCGTGTATATTGCTGACAGCGGTAGAGCCAGAAATCGCCAGAATAAGTCTCAGCGTAATTAAAAATCCAAGATTTTGCTTCACATGGTCAAGTACGAATAAAATTCCGAGTAAAAGCTCTCGGCTGGATGGAGGAAGACGGTTAAAGAGAAACAAAGGAATGCGAAAGCACAAGCTCAAGTCTTCGAAAAGTGGTCAGGTTATCAAATAAAAGCTGTGATTCGAGTGAATGAGAAAGCGAGTGTGCGCGATATCCGAAGCGCGGAGACGAGTTCGTGCTATGAGCACGAAGCTCAGCTTAGGCCCACGTCATTTGGTGCATTTCACGCGGAGCTGGCTTTCCTGTGTCTTAAGTTGTGATCCATCCATCATGAGTCTCACGTAGTCCTCAGTCTCGCCTCGCCCCTCTCCAAAATATGCAAGCGATTTTCAAAAAAAGTGTGAGTTAAGAGGTGTTGTGTCGCTGCTGCTGATTGAGCGGGCAAACCGCACAATGGGTGTGATAGTGGGGGGGGCTTACACGCTGGTTGGCCGAACGCTCTTTTGTCTGTGCGCGCGCGGTCCCCACCCCCAACTAAAATTGCACCCAAAATGCTACGATTCTTTACTTCTTGAGTGCAATTGCAAGGGGTGAAGTCGTAAACAGAGTGAAGGGGATTTCTTCTTAAGGACGACAAGTATGGAAATCTTGGTGGAAGAGTGGACATGTGGCTTAGAAATGACAAGAGAAGAGAGAAATAGAGTAGGAGTTATAGTTAGCCTCGCCAAAAACTCTCGAGAGGGAAGCCGGGTACTGTTTAATCCTAACTAAGGGACCAATACAGCCCTCGGGGGTTATTTTAGCCCATGTCTTCCCATGTGGCTCATTCTGGCCCGGAAATCGATGATAACGACTGAGCGAATATTGGAACAATGATCTCTCTTATTCAACGAATGAAACAGGAAATGGAAAATACTCTCGGGCCAAAAGATCCAATGGAAAACAATGAACGACCGGAAATTAGGCCCAAATAGTAGAAGGATCGAGGAAGGTTATGGAGTGTTTATAGTTGGCGATCGTGCGAGCGACTGGGCCATTAAGCGACTAGGCGATTAGTCGATTAGGCGAGCAGGCGAGTAGGCGATAAGCGAAGGATACCTATTGATTTGTTGCTCCGCCACTGACACGCTTGCCTAAATACGCACGTACGACTGCAACTTGTGCAACGCTTTATCGACTACCAGTTTTGCTTCGCCCGCTATCGCGCGCATCACACGGCAGGCTTTAGCGAAATTGGAGGACCCATGGAATATCAGCATGAGATACTCCATTAACCATCTCACTATTGACTGTGTTAGACCCTCCACAGTTTCACTGAAGTTTCGTCGAAGAATACGCGTGATAACGTCTGAGCTGAACTGGCATTATCTCACAACTGTAAACATCCAGCATTTTTCTTGAATTAAGATAATTTAGCGGTGAATAGGATTGCTGTCAGTCTCAAAATCAAAACGAAATATGCCTATTTACATAAGTGAGGAGCTAATGCTTATCATTCATTTACATTCATCATTATTTAGAACCACGAAAGGATTAGCGGTTTAATGAGTTTGGTTTTCTTAATAGTCAGAAATGAAACTTATCATTTGCTGAAGACTTTTTTTAAAATTTATGCAGTCGAATTCTATTAAGTAAGCTGGATATATATCGAAATAATGTGCACGTACCTTTGTTTGTACTACTACGACTTACTACAATTTGTAAGTAGGAACGCTCTAGTGTCAACGCTGCGTAACGGAACTAACGACTTTTGCGTTCTGACGCGCCTTATCGGCCCTTATCAATCGTTATCAGTTTCTGGCACCCACCAACAATGTCCCCGTCCCACCCCACATAACACTTGTAAGTATGGTTGCTCTGGTGTCAACGCGAGCCAGGCAACGGAATCGACGACTTCAGCGTTCTGGCGCGCCTTATCGGCCCTTATCAATCGTTATCAGTTTCTGGCACCCACCAACAATGTCCCCGTCCCACCCCACATAACACTTGTAAGTATGGTTGCTCTGGTGTCAAGGCGAGCCAGGCAACGGAATCGACGACTTCAGCGTTCTGGCGCGCCTTATCGGCCCTTATCAATCGTTATCAGTTTCTGGCACCCACCAACAATGTCCCCGTCCCACCCCACATAACACTTGTAAGTATGGTTGCTCTGGTGTCAAGGCGAGCCAGCAAACGGAATCGACGACTTCAGCGTTCTGGCGCGCCTTATCGGCCCTTATCAATCGTTATCAGTTTCTGGCACCCACCAACAATGTCCCCGTCCCACCCCACATAACACTTGTAAGTATGGTTGCTCTGGTGTCAAGGCGAGCCAGCTAACGGAATCGACGACTTCAGCGTTCTGGCGCGCCTTATCGGCCCTTATCAATCGTTATCAGTTTCTGGCACCCACCAT